TTTAATATCGTCTCCAGAGAACAAGAATTACAGGTATGTAATTTGCTTTTTCTCCTAAGGAAAGTAACTAAATACAGATCTCTTTTTGTGGAATCTATGCACAGGAATATCTAACAGATTACTGATCCTGCAGAGTTTGACAGGCTGATGTACATGGTCATGCCTGAAGTCAACAGGGACTATATGAAATGTAAAACAGTGAGGAATTTGATCCAGCAGGACAATGGCAAAGAGCAGAAATAACCAAGGATGAACAGTTACTGTTAAAAAAAGTGAGTAAACAGACATTATAAGGGGAAAATGAAACTACTAAAAGAGAGAAAGATAAGCATACTCACTTCACTTTTGTTTTGTCTTATTTTGTATCCATTCAGTGTCCTCTTTTTAAAAGTGAATTCACAAGAGTTGTCTCTGTGAGTTGCACACAATTAAAAATATTTAAAAAGCAGGTTGAAAGACTTCCACTCTGGAATAGCCCTCACGGGATTGATAAGCCAAGCTTTTGTGTTCCTATATTTACAATGGAGTACATTGGAATTGAAGCTGGGATGCTGTCAGAACAGTTAATGGGTCTCAGATAGATGTATCTCTCTGCCAATCAGTGCTTATGGAATTTTGCATAATAAAAGACCATTTTGGCCTTTATGTAGTTTAAGAACACTTCTCAGAGTGCAGTCACTATGTATCTTACACAAAGACTTCCCTATAGCTTTCCAAAGAGAGGAATAAATAGCAAGGACAATATTTATATTGTACGTAGTTCCTGGAAACATAGACTGTCCAAACGGCAAAATTAAAAAAAGTCCACTAGGCACTTTAAAAGTTTCATTCTGTCTAGAATAAGAACAGTCTTGTAGATTCTACTCACGTTAGGACCTTGTACATTTCTAAATTTTTAGTGTATGTTTGGTGTAAAATGTTCCAATGCAATGAGGTAAGATGGGATGGGCAAACTTATTTTGCTTAAATTTCAAACCCAATTGGAAAGTTTGACTTTCATGCTACTGAATTTGCATTGGCCCTAGGAGAAACTGAAAAACAAAACAAATAAACACAGGGTAAAAGAATAAGTCTAATGAAAAATGCTGCAAACATTCTTTATTCATAGCTGTAATGGCATCAACTTGTTCTAAAATAAACTTTTTCAAAGATCTATTGAACTCTTCTATCTTTCATGCATAGCAGAGGCTCCCCTCTAACTAGAAAAATGAGGATATTTTTAAAGTTGTATTTATAAGCTTTTCTGTGGCAATCATCATAGCATATGACTATTTTTCACGTGGGTTGCAATTATTTTCAAAATGTCTTGTTTGATAGGGAAGTAACAATCTTGTTAGAGAAAATAAACATTGACTTGGCTTATGAGACAGGAAAAAAATGGTACAACTCCCATTTTGGGAACCTGAAAAGTAGTTGTGGAGATTTGCAAAACCTCAGAGTCCATAATTTTTGTCTACCCTTAGGTGTGAGAGAAATACAGAACAACATTCCCATGAATTAAGTTTTAGTTATAGTTTTAATTTGATTTTCTACCCTGGAATTTGTCTGAAGACAGACTGCTTTAGCTTGTAAAAGATCATTGCTATCTTAACTCCATGAATTTCTCATAACTAAAATTTCCTGTACTCACATCAGTTATAAAAGACACTGCAAAAATGTTGCTGAACTATTGATATAGGTGGCAAAGTATTTTTATGGAAGTTCACATTACTACCTTGTATTTATGCAATCTTCTTTAGTTACAATGCATTAACTATGAGAGTTTAAACTATGAGAGTTTATATGGTATCACTCTTATGCTTCAGCTATCGCATTCAGATACTGGCTAACGGTATTCACAGATAAATATACCAACACAAAAAGCTAAGTGAACTTAAGTAGTGAAGACAAGATCAAGTATACATAGCCAGACTTTTTGACCTAGATTCTTCCTGTATCTTTCTTTTAAAACAAATTATTTTAGGTCTTTGCAAGTATGCTCTAGAGATGACCCTGACTTTTTGGTATGAGGAAGCAATAGAATCCCTTCCCTTTTGCCCAGGTTTGAATGCTCTATTTTCAGAGAAAGAAACATCTCAGAATTGATGTCTCCAAATATGAGTTTGGATGAATATTCTTTGCAGCAATGCAACTAAGATGCCTGCCAGTTATCTAGAAAAAAACGTGGATTCATGATGAACCTTTGTGGGACTCACAAAGCGTTTTTATTACATGTGATGGCCACTGGACAGAAAATAACCAAAAATTTATTTAAAATTGAACACAAAACAAGTGTCAGATGATGGAAAGTGGCCTTGTCCAGATTTGAACCAGCCATCTACTGGTGAAAGATTCTACATCCAATTCCCAATCTTATTGCCATCTTCTTCATATATAAAAGGAGAAGATGGTCTACCTTCTTCTTCTGCATCTCCAGACAGTAGACATTGGAGGATTACTGCAAATCCTCCAACTCCACAAGAATGCTAGAGACAGCCTCATCTTCTTCCATCAAATCTTCTTTAGATGGCTTCCTGGGAAATGCAGTACAAGTGTATGAATTCATTTGCATGGAGCACAAAAATTTGGTGCATCAAAATGTACCAAATTCAATGTAACAGAGGCCAACAATGGGTCCTGCACTAATTTGACCTGCATAGTGAAATGAGGGTATGTCTACACTACCCTCCTAGTTCGAACTAGGAGGGTAATGTAGGCATACCGCACTTGCAAATGAAGCCCGGGATTTGACTTTCCCGGGCAGCCTGGGAAATTCAAATCCCGGGCTTCATTTGCAAGTGCGGTATGCCTACATTACCCCGCTATTTCGAACTAGCGGGGTAGTGTAGACATACCCTAAGACACACTCCAAGGGACATCCTGTGATTGTGATCCTTTTTCCAATATCATTCCACAGATGTAAAATAAATGTAAAATCAGAATAACTGAATAAACAAAATAAGGGGTAGGGGAAAAATCACAAAACCTACTGGTAGGAAAGAAAACATCCTACCAAAGATACTTCTACAACTAAGAGTAGAAAAGATATTAAGTAGATGGGAGTTAGCCAGAAAATACAATTAATGTTCATTTTATTTTAAATAGGAATCAAGAATAATTTTTTCATGGATTATGAAGGCAAAGATATATAGAAGAACTACAAGATACCTCTCAAACTAGAAGGAAAACTGAAAGGATGTAATTCACTTTTTTTTTGTTTTTGTTTACACTCACCACAACCAGAAAGACATCCTGACAGAAATGCCAACAGACAACACTCCTCCTACAGCCATGAGGAAGAAAATAATGCATGTTTAGAGAATAACTCTTGCAATGTATAGACCTTACCCGGGCACATGTTTGTCATGCTTATCAAGGAGTGTCCTTGTAATAATTTGGATTTTCTCTCTTGATGAGTGCTCCTGAGTCAATGCACTCAGGACACAGAATCCCAAAACTGGGGATCTGTATTTAATTACTTACCATGGGAGCTTTGGGATTTAATCAGATCCTTCATCTCTGTAGCAATTGCCACCTTTATTTTTCTGTTTTCCCATAACAGCAACACAATTGTGCCACTGCAGAGACCTGATACACCATTGCTTCTTGCACCTACTAACTCCTTTCTTCCTAAAAATATAAACATTATCTTTCTTCAAAATGGTTTGTTAATGTTTAAAATAGAAAAAGGGGAAAACACTATCCAAACATACATAATACTGTCTTAAGTGACATTTCAAAAAGGGTAACAAAAGCATCTGAGAAGAAAATTCTCTTGAAGACCCTTTAAAATAGAAAAAGTATTCTTAATTGGTATCAACTAGAAAAAGTATTCTTAATTTGCATCAAGTATTATAAGTACTTAAATATTTTCATGTTTTCCTCTAAAGCCCTGTACAAGCTTTTTCATAGATTCATAGACTTTAAGGTCAGAAGGGACCATTATGATCATCTAGTCTGACCCCCTGCACAGTGCAGGCCACAGAATCTCAACCACCCCTCTTAGAATAATCCTCTCACCTATATCAAAGATATTGAAGCTGACATTTGTTATGATGGGGATTGTATTTTCTTCTCTCTTGTTGTTATTGAGACTATGATGTTAACATGCTATTTTGTTGCAATGGAAATGGCCATATATATTGCTAAGAAAAAAATATGGATCCTGCCTTAAGACAAATTTTGCTTATTTGTGGCCTTATTATTTAGTAAATTGTTCTATTTTGCATATTTATGGTATCAGTGCATGTATAAACTTAATTTCCTTTACCTATGCACAGAAGTAATTTACATTTTGCATATTTAGTGAAATATTTAAAAACATATAGATGAAATATTAAAGTTAATAAATAACAGTAAATACATACTTCTTAGTCCATCTTTTTGATGGATTTTTAATTTCTTGTTACATAAAATAAATACAGGATCACTTTTTTTTTGTAATTGACAGTCAAAGCTGTACATTCTAGTTTAGCTGAACACACATGTCTAAATGTTCTGCTACAAAAAATACTTGAAGGTTTTTTCTGAGAAGAAAGGGTATTTTTTTAAATCAAATCAGACCTTATACTTTAAGATGTCACATCAGTTTTAAGTTGTTTTATTATTCTAGAAGTTGTGTTCATGAACATAAATCAGCATCAGTAAAGAGCCTACGTTTTCCAATAAAATAAAATATTTAAAAATAATCTGCACAATATTTTTGCTCACTACTAAAAATTCTAAAATAAGAGTATGTTACTTTCTTATCAGTTGCTAGACCTGTAAAATAAAAATTTAGTATTAGCTTTCACTTTTCAAGGAAAACCATTCCTAGGCCTCTTATTTTATTCATATTTTGCTCTTTTGCAATTAAACACTTTTGAACTTGTCTGATTTACCATTTTATGAATTGTTAAAGTGTAGTTATTTAGGTACATTCCTTTCCATATCATACGCTCTACTTTGTGGCATTATCTTTTCTGAATTGAAAATCACATGTACAGTTTGTCAGAGGTTCTACATTCGTCCTTGTAACATACCTGAGTCTGGATTCTGTTGAGCCCTCTGAACCAGAGAATTTGTCCACGTCGAAGTTCTCTCTCTGCATGGTCAATTTCTTCAACATCTTCATTCAGCTCTTCTTCAGGTACTTCCTCTTTTTCAGTGAGACGCCCTGCTTCCTTTAAAAATTTTAGTCTACTTGTTGGGATGGTTGCAATGACCTGAAAAAATCACATTACAAAAGAGTGCTGAAAATGTATTATCATAATCTACTCGCTGCCATGAAAAATTCAAGATTTTTCAGTAGGACCTGTAATGCCCCAGGAATGACAGGATACATACGTTTATAATGGTGCTTTATTCCAGTGGTGCACAACCCGTGGGTCACAACCCCCAAGGGTGCCATGGATGTCTTCCTGTGGGAGCCACCAACAGCCAGGCCCAGTCCCCGGCTGCTGGGATCTAAGCACGGCACTGCAGGACCACAAGTGTATGGGGGTCCTGGTTGAAAAAAGGTTGCGCACCACTGCTTTATACAATTCCTTTCAGCCCAAGGAACTTTATGTGTTTATATATGTAAACAACTATGGGCAGAGGACAAACATCATTGTCCAGCAATACTGGAAAAAGAACAGGACACACTGGATGTGGTTTAATTAGGCTGCAATTTTATTCTTAAAGGTCTGGGAGTGCCTGGCAGATAAATGCGCACAGTGCAGATGATTCCATAATCATTTCAATGTATATGGGTGAATCTTCCAGCAGCTCTCCCTCTTACCCATCCTGCTGCTGGGATCTCACCATCCCTCATACCTTGCATTCAAGGGTTAGAAGGGGAGCATGTGTCTCCCTACAGGAACAGGAAGGGGAAAATTGTAACTAGGAAAATCCTTCACAGATGCCAAACTTTAATCTAAAGATGGGATGCCTGAACTATGGGAAGTTTTGGCAGATAGGAAAGTTGTGGCTTGGAGGCTGAAGGGCATCCCCCAAGTTTGCAGCCATGACCTCCCCATCTGGAGATATGTTGCAAGGTTCAGTGCTGCTTTGCTGCCGGAGATGTGGAGACTTGAGAAATAGGATCAGGTGGAGGCAAAAAGTTGTAGGAAGGTAGGTGAAGAATGAAACAAAATGTTTGTAGGAATGCCACCTTCAGTTTTGGGAGTGGCAGTGGTAGGGAGCACTGGGATAAAGCCGGAGCATAGCCAGGGTCAGGGATGGGCCGTAGACTACCCACTGTGCATCAAGCCCCACCCTCTGCAGCTCACTCAGCTCCACCCAGTAAGTCAGTTGAAGAGTGGGACTGGATATTACCCAGCTCCACTCTGGCACTCTGGCTGGGGAGCGGGGCTGAGGCTTACCCCGCTCCACTGTGACACTCTGGCTGGGTGCCATGGCTTACGCCAATCTGCCCCATCCCTCTTGTCCTGCTGCTCCCAACAAACACCCTATTCTTGCCTACCCACTTCTGAGTATGCCACAGGAGACGGAATAAAATCAAGATGTTTTAGAAGGGAGTTTGCTGGAGATGTTCCTGAACTGAATGACCCACAACTTTAAAGTCGGAGTTAAAAAAGAAACACGAGGAGTCAGTTTTCCAACCTGAGCCCAGGCAAACTTGATCTCTCTAATTTCAAGCCCAGCTGAATGTTGCAGGTTTAAAAGTTTGACATGGACTTGAAAATTAACAGTGTGGCTGTGAAATAGTGAAGGGGCAGAGGTGAGAAAGAATGGTGAGTTATACTCAGGGTCACTGGGACAACCGACTGATTCATTTGGCCTCTGTAAGAACAGCTTAATAGCTTTCAGAAAGTTCATATAGCAGGGGGTTGGACTCAATGACCTCCCGAGAGCTCTTCCAGCCCAATGATTCTAAGATTCTAAGCAATGGGGCTACTTCTAAACGCTCTGTAAGGCTTCTATTAGCACTGAAAAGGATTAAGTGATTTTTGCCCTAGCAAGAATGCATTGCAAGTTTAGAGATGTTAAGCGGGGGTGTACAGATGCTGCAGGGCCCAGTGAGTGTTTCCTCATACCTGGAATGGCATAGGGTATGTCTATACTACCCCCCTAGTTCGAACTAGGGGAGGCAATGTAGTCATACAGAGTTGCAAATGAAGCCCGGAATTTGAATTTCCCGGGCTTCATTTGCAGAAAGCCGGCCGGCGCCATTTTTCCATGAGGCGTACAGCTAGTTCGAATAGGAAGCCTAATCCGAACTAGCTAGTCCGTGCCACGTGTAGCCGCACGGCACGGAGTCCGAACTAGCCGGCATTTAAAAATGGCGCCGGCTGGCTTCATGCAAATGAAGCCCGGAATTTGAATTTCCCGGGCTTCATTTGCAACTCTGTATGACTACATTACCTCCCCTAGTTCGAACTAGGGGGGTAATGTAGACATACCCATATTCTGTCCAATCTTTGTTTTTTAATTTACTTTTCACTTTGACAGATCCCCACTGAGCCAGCTCGCAGAAGTGTCAGGTCCAGGACACTAGAAAGGGACTAAACAACCATTGTCAGGAAACTGAATTTAACAGTTTCACTATGTCTATCCTGCACACTTATTTCAAAATGACTCATGTTATTTTGAAATAATGCAGTGTGTGTCTACACAGTTTCAAAATAACGGGCTTCTTACTCCGACTGCTGAAACCTTCATTTCACAAGGAGTAAGGGAAGAGTGTTCTTCCTTCAAATTCCCGCTGTGTAGATGGTGACAAAAGGCAAGTTAAGGTCCTTTGACTTCAGCTACACTAAGTTGCATATCTTAACTTGACTTTAGCCCACAGTGTAAATGTACCCTTAGGGACTAGATTTTCAAAAGTCACTAGTGATTTTGGGAGTTCAACTTGAGTCACCTTAAAGGGGCCAAATTATCAGTAGTGCTGAGTACTCACATTTTGCAAGTAAGGTCCTTCAAAGTGCTCCAACTGGTCTCCTAAAACTGATTTAGCCCCCTAGATCAGTCATAGAATCATAGAGCTGGAAGAGACCTCAGGAGACCATCAAGTCCAGGACCAATCCCAACTAAATCAACCCAGTCAGGAATTGTCAAGCTGAGAGTTAAAAACCTTCAGGGATGGAGATTCCACCACCTCCATAGGGAACCCATTCCAGCGATTAACCACCCTCCTAGGGAAATAGTTTTCAATAATATCCAACCTGGACCTCCCCCACTGTAACTTGAGACCATTGCTCCTTGTTCTGCCATCCCTCACTACTGTGAACAACCTTTCTACATCCTCTTTGGAAATCCCCTTCAGGAAGCTGAAGGCTGCTATCAAATCCCCTCTCACTCTTCGCTTCTGCAGACTAAACAAACCCAAATCCTTCAGTCTCTACTCATAGATCATGCGTTCCAGCCCCTTAATCATTTTGGTCGCCCTCTGCTGACTCTCTCCAATACATCCACATCCTTTCTATAGTGGGGAGCCCAGAACTAGACACAATATTTTAGATGTGGCCTCACCAGAGCCGAATAAAGGGGAATAATCACTTCTCTGGATCTGCTGGCAATGCTCCTCTTAATGCACCCCAATATGCCATTAGCCTTCTTGGCTAGAAGGGCACACTCTTGACTCATATCCAGCTCCTCATCCACTATAATCCCTAGGTCCTTTTCTGCAGAACTGCTACTTTGCCATTCGGTCCCCAGCCTTTAACAACGCTTGGGATTCTTCTGTCCCAAGTGCAAGATTCTACACTTATCCTTGTTGAACCTCATCAAATTTCTTTTGTAGAATGAGGTTTACCTAGTTTGAATTAAGCACTCCGCTAGTTTGAATTAAGTTCGAACTAGCGGTTTGCCTGTGTAGTGCCTATCAAAGTTAGTTCGAACTAACGTCTGTTAGTTCGAATTAACTTTGTAGTGTAGACATACCCCAGCATATCTACCCCTCCTTAGTGTCATCTGCAAATTTACTCAGAGTACAATCTGTCCCCTCATCGAGGTCATTAATAAAAATGTTGAACAAAACCAGTCCAAGAACAGATCCTTGGGGTCTCCGCTAGAAACCGACCGCCAACCTGACACTAAGCTGCTATCCGTTGGGCCTGACAGTCTAGCCAGCTTTCTATCCATATTACAGTCCATTTATCCAATCCATACTCCCTTAACTTGCTAGAAGAATACTGTGGGAGATCATATCAAAAGCTTTGCTAAAGTCAAGGTATATCACATCCACTGACTTTACCATATGACAGTTAGGTCATCATAGAAGCTAATCAGATTGGTCAAGCACGACTTGCCCTTCGTGAATCCATGTTCACTATTCCTGATCATTTTCCCTTCTTCCAAGTGCTTCAAAATGGATTATTTGAGGATCCCCTCCATGATTTTTCTGGGGACTGAGATAAGGCTGACTTGTCTGTAGTTCCCTGGATTGTCCTTCTTCCCTTTTTTAAAGATGGGCACTACATTTGCCTTTTTCCAATCATCCAGGATCTCTCCCGATCTCCATGAGTTTTCAAAGATAATAGCCAAAGGCTCTGCAATGACATTTGCCAACTCCCTCAGTACTCTTGGATGCATTAAATCTGGGCCCATGGATTTGTGTATGTTTAGCTTTTCTAAATAGTTCCTGACTTGTTCTTTCCCCACCAAGAGCTGTCCACCTCCTTCCCATATGCTTTGCCTAGTGCATTTGTCTGTGAGCTGACCTTGTCCATGAAGACAGAAGCAAAGAAAGCATTGAGTACATCAGTTTTTCCTAAATCATCTGTCACTAGATTACCTCCCTCAACCAATAAGGTCCCCCAACCCTCTCTGATCAACCTTTTATTGCTAACATGTCTGTAGAAATCTTCCTTGTTATCTCACATCCCTTGCTAGCTGCAATTCCAATTGCGCTTTCACCTTCCTGATAACCCCCCGGCATTCTTGAGCAATATATTCCCTCTCCCCCAATCATCTCTCAAGTTTCCACATCTTGGAAGGTTCCTTTTTGTGTTTAAGGAAAGGTGTTTCCGGTAAGCCAATCTGGTCGCCTCAAATATTTGCTTTTCTTGCTGCGCATCGGGATGGTTTCTTTCTGTGCCTTCAATAAGGCTTCTTTAAAATAGTGCCAGCTCTCCTGGACTCCTTTCCCCTTCATGTAAGCATCTCAGGGAATCCTGCCCATCAATTCTCTGAGGGAGTCACAGTCTGCTCTTCTGAAGTCCAGGGTGTGCATTTTGTTACTCTCTTTTCTTCCTTTGGGCAGGATCCTGAAATCTACCAT